ACCTAAGCTCTCTATATAGATGGCTATTATACTAATATACACATGCATAAACATGTCTCTATATACACACATATAGAAACTCACATAATGTATATAAGATATACAAAACCAGGAATAAAAAGAATGAACTGAAAATTAAATGTAGGCTGATTGTTGGGTGTAACTCAGCCACCTATCTTGTGCCAGAATGTTCTGAAACATACTTTATGGGTTTGAGATCCCTGTGAAGGACTCTGTACCCAGGTTTGCCAGGGGATTTGGTTTGCAGAGCGTTTGGTGAACTTTGTGATTTACAGAATTTAAAAAATGCTGATCAAACTATTAAAGCTTTTGAAAGCTTCAAGTGCCGCTCCGAATGGTCTACCTTGGACTGCACCTAAGATAGCTGTATATTTGGACAGCTGCATCAGAAGGAATTATTGTGCACAGTAAGGCACTGTGAAGTTGTAGTGTGTGCTGGTATAGTTTTAAGTGACCTTTCTTTGTTCTGTAATGTTACTGAGAATCTCCCAGCACATGATTAGTATTACTTAGTAATCTTAAACCACATTATTTAAGGTACAAACAGAATCTTACTTTTGCAGAAACTGAGAAACTGTGTGAACATGACCGATAGCTTAGCTCTTAGCTGATGATTAGAATCCTGCATCTACCCAGTAATTTCACTAGTGTTCAACTTGTATTTGGTAAACAATTGCCTTAGTTTCCTAGGGCTGGTGGGACAAATTACTACAAACCAGTTGGCTTAAAACAACAGAAATTTATTTTCTTGCACTTCTGGAGCCTGGAAGTCTGCAATCAAAATGTCAGCAGGGCCATGCTCCCTCTGGAGGCTCCGGGCAAGAAGGTTTTCTGTGATTTTCAGCTTCTGGTAGTGCCCGACAACCCTTTCTGTCCCTTGCAGCTGTATCATTCCAGTCTCTGCCTGTCTGTACTTGGCCTTCTTTCCTGTATGTAACTTTATGTGTTCTCTCCTCTTCCTCTTCTTCTTCTCCTTTTCCTTCTCCTTCTCCTCCTCCTCCTCCTTCTCCTTCTCCTCCTTCTCCTTCTCCTCCTTCTCCTTCTCCTTCTCCTTCTCCTTCTCCTTCTCCTTCTCCTTCTCCTTCTCCTTCTCCTTCTCCTTCTCCTTCTCCTTCTCCTTCTCCTTCTCCTTCTCCTTCTCCTTCTCCTTCTCCTTCTCCTTCTCCTTCTCCTTCTCCTTCTCCTTCTCCTTCTCCTTCTCCTTCTCCTTCTCCTTCTCCTTCTCCTTCTCCTTCTCCTTCTCCTTCTCCTTCTCCTTCTCCTTCTCCTTCTCCTTCTCCTTCTCCTTCTCCTTCTCCTTCTCCTTCTCCTTCTCCTTCTCCTTCTCCTTCTCCTTCTCCTTCTCCTTCTCCTTCTCCTTCTCCTTCTCCTTCTCCTTCTCCTTCTCCTTCTCCTTCTCCTTCTCCTTCTCCTTCTCCTTCTCCTTCTCCTTCTCCTTCTCCTTCTCCTTCTCCTTCTCCTTCTCCTTCTCCTTCTCCTTCTCCTTCTCCTTCTCCTTCTCCTTCTCCTTCTCCTTCTCCTTCTCCTTCTCCTTCTCCTTCTCCTTCTCCTTCTCCTTCTCCTTCTCCTTCTCCTTCTCCTTCTCCTTCTCCTTCTCCTTCTCCTTCTCCTTCTCCTTCTCCTTCTCCTTCTCCTTCTCCTTCTCCTTCTCCTTCTCCTTCTCCTTCTCCTTCTCCTTCTCCTTCTCCTTCTCCTTCTCCTTCTCCTTCTCCTTCTCCTTCTCCTTCTCCTTCTCCTTCTCCTTCTCCTTCTCCTTCTCCTTCTCCTTCTCCTTCTCCTTCTCCTTCTCCTTCTCCTTCTCCTTCTCCTTCTCCTTCTCCTTCTCCTTCTCCTTCTCCTTCTCCTTCTCCTTCTCCTTCTCCTTCTCCTTCTCCTTCTCCTTCTCCTTCTCCTTCTCCTTCTCCTTCTCCTTCTCCTTCTCCTTCTCCTTCTCCTTCTCCTTCTCCTTCTCCTTCTCCTTCTCCTTCTCCTTCTCCTTCTCCTTCTCCTTCTATATGTATTTTTTTAATCCTCACCTGAGGATATATTTTTATTGCTTTTAGAGAGAGAGGGAGGGAGGGAGGAGATAGAGGTCAATGTGAGAGAGAAACATCGATTAGTTGCCTCCCATACACGCCCCGACCACCGATCAAACCCAAAACCTATATATTATGGGTTCTAACCCAGGATTTGAACCCACATCCTTTTGGTGTATGGGACAAGCTCCACCCAACTGAGCCACCTGGCCAGAGCTGTCTTTGTAAGATTTAAAATGGCAAAGAACTAGGATATTTTATTTGTTTGTTTTTAATACACATTGCCAAATAATAGGTTCAGAAGAATTGATAATTATTTAAGGCCCTATTTACGGATAGTTTTAGAAGATTATCCATTACTGGTTATTTAATTATTGCACATTAATTTGGGGGCTTACACTTGGCCTCCTGGGTACCTTTGCACTAGCATGACACTATTCCTGGGATAGAAAAGTGCATCATTTACACACTCATTGAAGGGTTTTGAGGACAAATCTCAGCTTTCGCTGACCAAACTGAGCCATAGCATGCCATGAGGTGACCTGAAGCTTTCTTTTTCTTCCATTAGGGAAGGTGGGACTTAGATCCTGGGTAAGGAAGAAGATTGGGCTGTGAAAAGTGACTCTAAAGGACAATGTGACTGAAAAGGACTGTAGCGGATCATACCTGGTATTCTGAAAAGAGCCTCGCTAAAGACCCTACAGCAAACCTTTACTGACTGTTTTTCCCAACCACAACAGGAACCATTCAGTTCTTAGTTGTGACGAATCTGACTCCCATGTGCATCCATAAGCATACACATTTGCACATACCTCGGAGTTCTATATTAATTATTTCAAATATTGTTAAGGAGGTATCTTTCATTTGGAAAAATGTATAGGTGTGTCCCTCCCTGACTTTTTTTAGATATTTTACTGATTTTTTTTTTTTAGAGAGGGGAAAGGAGAGGGAGAAAGAGAAAAAAGCACCAATTGGCTGCCTACTGCACGCCACCTACCGGTGTCGAGGGGCATGTGCCCTGACCAGAATCTAACCAGCTAGTGCATAAGATGATGCCCAACCAACTGGACCACACCAGCCAGGGCCCTCCCTGAGTTCTTTACCAGGCTGATCTCTCAGCCTTTCTGTGATTCCAGCAAGGGTTGCGCCTCTCCTAAGGAACTCATTGTTCCCATGTCCGGTTCACCTCAAATCTGCCATCAAGTATCACAGTAGGGAACTACTAACTGTAGGCCTCCTGGCAGAAACATCTTAAAACAAAGAAGTGCTGAGTCAACTAGATAAATTGAAACAGGATCAAAGGACATTGATTTTTTTGCAAAAAATGTATGGCTATATTTTCCTCTTATTTTGTTTGGCCCCAATAAAATCTAAAAGTTGAGGTACTGGTCACACAGGATCTGACATTATATTTAAGCCTACTCACGTCACTATCGGCAATGACAAGGTGGGAGTGAGGATGGAAGAATTTATATCACTCACTAATATCTGGAATTGAAAAAGGAAACCTTGTAATTAAGGAAATTTGAATTAAATAATGAATAATATTTTAACCCCAAGCATTTAAATATTAAGAATCGGAAAAGGTGTAATGAAATTAACACTGTCATACTTTGTCAGTGAGGAAGTAATTGAAGACATTCTGACAGTAGGTATTGGGAACCTTAAATACATCTATATGCTTTAGCCTGGTGAGTGTACATCTAGGAGTATATTCCAAGCAAATAGTCATAGATAGGACACAGAGCTGTATTACAAGAATTTCCTGTGCAGCAGAATTTCTGTCATAAAACTGGATTTGTGTTACTATGAGTAATATCTTATTATAAAAATATAAATATTTAGCAATGGGGAATTATTAAATAAACTGGTAGCCCTGCACACGAATCCGTGCGTGAGTAGCTCACTGCCACTTGCCTCAGCTGGCCACCCCGCCCACCGCCACTGGTAGCTCTCTGCCACTCTGTAGCATGCTGCCCCGCCCTCCTGTAGTTCTCCCTGCTGATAGCTCGCTGCCCCACCCTCCTGTAGCTATCAGCTGCTTGTAGATTGGTCGTGACATTTACGGCGTCCCGGCTAATTTGCATATTCCTCTATTATTATATTAGATCATGCTATATCTACATTATGCTATTGAGAAACACATTTTTAAGAATTATAACATAACCCCTTGCTAATGTTAAGTAAAATAAGGAGGTATGAAGGTCTTTTTAAGCATCTTTTAGGTAAAAATTTACATCTATAAATACATACAAGAAAAAACATAGAAGGGAAGTGCTCTGTAATGTTAACTGAATTTTTGTCTAGTGGCATTATGGGTTATTTTATTTTTTTCTTATTTTCTCATTTTTTTCTACAGTGAATACTTAACACTTATAATCAGAAGAAATACATATATTCTTGGGGGAATGACTAATAAAAATCCTATAAACAGGTCCCTTCAAGGTTAATCATCAAGAATATATCATATTACTTGTTTTTATCAGCCACTTCCTCTTATTATAATTATATGAGCCTTCATCTGAGGCCTCTTAAAATCAATCACATTTGTTAGCTGTTTTATGTGAGGTTGCTATTTTAATTTAGGCAATCCTTTCATGATTAAGATTGTATTGGTACAATGGTGACCCATAAAGTGTATCTGTTACTTAAAGCCATTTCTGTCTTTGATGTTGCTAAAGCTTTTTTTTTTTTGTCAAAAAAATCACTTTGACCATTCAGAATACCATTACCTTTGTAATTTTTAGATCAAGAAATTATAACTATTAAAGTCTTCTAACAAATAAAGACTTTAATTGCACCAACATTAATAGCATCTAAATAAATACACTTGGACATGTATAATATTAATATGTACACTTAAAACCCTCATGAAGTAGGTATGTGTAGAAGATGCTCTAAATGTATGTGAGTAGCTAACCAGCCTTGGTAGATGATAGGTGTATATTTGTTTTTGCCATACAGACAGAGCTATGACATTCAGATCGTGGCACTGGTAAACCAGACGGGTTTCAGATCTGGGAACATCCTTGATTTAAAGAACCCTTTCTTCAGGTAAGAAATGTTTGCATCCATTTCACACCTATGCATACAAAATCTCAACTGACCATATGACCAGGTAAAGAGGTTCAGAATACTTCCATCTTTCCTAAGAGGAGAACAAGCCTCTACTCTTCCTCTCTGAGGAGACTTTGTTCCTGATACCGAGTTGAATATGTTATGTGGCATTAAACAAAATCCAATATTTAACAATCTGGCCCTAAAACAGAGAGCCCTGGAGAGCTCCGCAAAGTGAATTCTTGTTCAGCTGAGCTGGAACGAGCTGTGTGACCCCAGGCAAGGTCACTCTTCTTCTGGCATTTGCTTTTCTCATCTGCAGAGTTTAAGGATGACCTCCTATGACCTTCATTCGCTGAGGGATGATTTTTATGTAGTAGCATTCCAATTACAGCTTACACATGAGTCCATTTAAAGTACATTTTTGAGACTTTTTCTGAGGTCATGTAAGCCAGGACATACTTCTCTAGATGTGCAGAGTTTGTCTGACACAAAGAACTTGCCACAATGAAACAGCTACCACACATGTTTCTGGGAAAACTCCCTATCTTTACAACCATTCAGTATGAGGTCATTAAAAATCCACACATGAAATCAACCACACAAATAAAACCACTGGACATGGTTACTCTTTACTTCCTTATTAAAAGGAGACGTGTCTCATATATTATAATGTCTCCCTAAGACTTTTATTCAAAGCATTATGTCTCTATAGCACTGAAAAGCTTAAAGAGAAGAGGGAACTCAGGAAACCAAGCAAGAATTCTTTGGCAGAGATGGGAAAATGAAATTTTGACCTTGAGGCAGGGGAGGGGAAAAAACAGGCAAAGCTTTTGTGTGGGGTGTGCCAGTTGTTACACATGGTATGATTTCTGAAATCCATCGCCAATTAAGTATGTGAATCTCATCTTTAATTCTGAGGCCAGGGAGGAGTCCTCGCTCCCATCCCTCATTTACATACTCCTGCCATGTAAAGGGAAGGACATGGGGTTTTGGCCGGAGAGAGCAGACTAGTACCATTTAACTTGCCTAGGCCTCAGTTTTCTCATCTATAAGATGGGATAAACAACACAAACCTCACTTGAGAGACTGCAAGAATTCCCGTACCATGTCCCAGTAATTAGTGCTCAATAAATGTGAGTTTCCTCCTTTCTTCCTCCCTTTCCTTCCTTCCCTCTGCTCTCCAACTCTCTCAATAAGGTAAATGGGAATGATTTGTAGTTCGTTCCAAACAGAATCATTTCGATTTTGGAAAAGAAAATCGGTGTCTGGAGGGTTTTAGAAAGCTCACCTTTTGAATGCAGGAGCCATATAAACTTGACTCCCAGTTCTACTTCATCTTACAAGAACAAGGTTTTTACCAGAAAACCACCTAGAGAAGGCTTTGTGCTTGGCTTTGGCCAGCACCTGCTTTGTATGAAGGCAGAAACGCTGTGGCCGCAAGGGCAAAGTGAGAGCTTGTTAAAGATGCCCGAATGGCCATGCCCTGCCAGAACAGATGGACTGTTGAGTGAAGGGCAGGTGCCTTTCTTTCCCCCCTTTTCTCTCTCTCAGCAGCAAGTCTGACTGACATACTTAATTAAGCAGATGAGGATGCTTAAAAATGTGACTCCCCTGTAAAAGATAAACAGAGTAATATCAACCTGATTTCACGACTTAATATAAAGCTACTGTAATCAAGGAAGTGCAGTTCGGACTGGTGAAGGGATGATGTGTAGACAGGTGGATGGAACAGAGATCACAAATAGACCAAACATCTACATCGATCGATTCTCAACAAAGTTGAAAAGGCAGTTCAATAGAGTCTTTCAAAATTGGTGCTGGAATGACTGGATATCCGTATGCAATGAAAAGTGAGCTTTCGTCCATATTTCACACCATCTATAAAAATTAACTCAAAAAAGATGAGAGATTAAAATGTAAAACCTAAAAAGATATATAATACTTTTAGGAAGAAAACATAAAAGAAAATCTTTGTGACCTTGCGAACATTTCTTAAATATGGGACCAGAAACACAATTCATAAATAGAAAAAAAAATGATACATTGTACTTTATCAAAATGACAACTTGTGATCTTTGAAAGGCATATTATAATAGAATGGAAAAAAACAAGTCACAAATTGGGTGAAAATATTTGGAAATCACATATTTGGAAAAAAGCTAGTATCCAGAATATAAAAAGAATTAGTGATATAATACTCTCAAAAAAGCCCAATAATACAAAAACAATTTTTCAGAAGGCAAAAGATTTGACCAGACACTTTATCAAAAAGACATAATAACAAATTACATGAGAAGGTGCTCAACATCATTAGTCATTAGGGAAGTGAAAGTTAAAACCATAATGACATACCACAGCACACCTAGCAGAATGGCTAAAGTAAAAGTCCTGACGATTTTTGACAAGTGCTGGTGAAGGTGGAGAGCTGGCAGGATTCACATTCATTGCCAGTAGAAATGCAATATGCTACCGCCATAGCGGAAAGCATTTTGACAGTTTCTTATATAGTTAAATGTGCACTTACCATATGACCCAGCAATCCCACTCCTAGGTATTTATACAAAGGAAATGAAAACTATATTTAAATGTTTATTGCAGCTTTATTTGTAATTATTAAAATATGGGAATGACTAGAATGTATCTCAGCTGGAGAATGAATAAACAAAATGTGGTCCATCCAGAAAATGGAATAATTTTCTAAAAAAAAGGAATGATGCATGTAATAATACAGATGAGTCTCAAAAATATTATGCTGAGTAAAAGAAGCCAAACTCAAAAGGCTGCAGATTATATGATTCCATTCATTTGACATTCTGGAAAATGCAACACTGTTGATTCAGACAACAGATCAAAGCTAGGGTTGGGAGAAGCATTACTATAAAGAGGAACAGGGCATTTTTCACAATGATGGCATTTTTCTATATCTTGATCATAGTGGTGGCAGTATATGGTCACACGCATTTGTCAAAACTCAGAGAACTATACACCAAAAAGGGTAAATTTCAATAAAAGGTTAACATCAATGGTGAGAGGGCAGGCTAAATAGCCATCTCAGATGGTGATTAAAGAAAAATTGAATTTATTTAAGGAAGAGGGCGCAGGAGATGGGGATATCCAAAGAGAAGGGCCACACAGCACTGAGCTGAAGGGTATTGGGTCCATGATAGACTTGAGACAATGAAACAAGGCAGGGCACAGAAGAAGCAACTGGAAAGCCTAGGCTGGGCTGCTTTGGCTCACTGAGAACTCAGAGAAAAGGGGGCCTTGGAGACAGGTTCAGGGGTTAGCCCAGGACGAGCTGCCACTGCCCATTGCTCCCCTGGTTGCAAGTCTCGTGGAGTCCCTTAGAGGTGGGGGATATGTGCCTGTGGGAGAGGAGTGCACACTGGGTCCTTGTCCGGAGCCTATTTGTCTCTCTCTTGCAGGTGGAAATCTTAGGGGAGGTCTCAGGGGAGGGTTTTAATAGCATATTCATCCGTTTCCCAGTGTGCTCTTTCAGGGTTGTGGGCTCCACTGATTGGTTGGAGCCAGAGCAGGGGGTCACTAGTCAATGTAGCTGGTCCTGAGGCAGCCACGCATCACTTGTCTGGTTTTGCTGCTTTTCTGGGCCTGGAGCTGAAATACAACTGAGGCCTAGCCTCTAATGTTATCATTAAGAAGGAAAAGGTCAGGGATCTAAACTGCCTGACCAGCGATATGAAAGATCAGGGGTCCAAACTGCAAGACCAGTGACATGCTTAGAGGAGGATAGGTTACTCCAAGGACAAGGTTCTTGTTTTCCCAGTTTATCTAAACTGCCTGACCAGCGATATGAAAGATCAGGGTTCCAAACCGCAAGACCAGTGACATGCTAGAGGAGGAGAGGTTACTCCAAGGACAAGGTTCTTGTTTTCCCAGTTTTGCCCCTTGCTAGGCATCTGGGGGTCTCTGCCCTGGTGAGTTTCTGTACCTGGCCTATCATCCTTGCTCTGCTCATGTTTAACATTTACTAGATGTAAAGAACTTTTTCAATTACATGAAAACTTACCCAAAAAAGAACTACATAAAGGGATAGCAGAAACAAACAGAATGACATGCTAGACAGCGGCAAGGCCAGAGATGGGAGGTGGAGTTATTTACATTGAGTGGTCTGGGCGGCCTCTCCAAAGAGGGGTTAACTGGTAGAGACTCAAATGTTGGAAAGGAACCCTCATGGGCAGATGTACAAGTAGAGCCTTCGGGAAGAGGACAGTGAGGGCAAAGTTAGCCTATTGAGTAGCAAGAAGAGAGAGAAGTTGGTGCTTATTAGCCTTTGCTACCTATATATATAAAGAACTAAGTGTCTGTCCAACTGGTTGCTATGACACTCACTGACCACCAAGAGGCAGACGCTCAACGCAGGAGCTGCTAAGTGTCTGTCCAACTGGTTGCTATGACACTTACCACCAAGAGGCAGATGCTCAACGCAGGAGCTGCCCAGCTGCAGTGACTTGGCAGTGGCGGTTCTCGGGTGATGCAGCCCGGAACCAGAGAGGAGGGAGCCCAATTCCTCCTTCAGCCCTGGGTTATGTTGTTGCTGGGGCACTGTTGGCCCCGAATCTGGTTTATTGCACACTTTTGTTTGTATTCCACACCCTGTACGACAGCAACTTTGCAGAGTGCCCTCTCGGTGCACTCCGGGACCCCTCAGGGGATGTTGGAGGGCCAGTATAGGCCCGATCCCCGCAGGCCAGGCTGAGGGGCCCACCTGCTGAGGGACCCTGCTCACTTGGCAGACACCCTTCTAGCTGTGGTGACGCCAGCACGACGCCCCAGGTGTGGCTGGCAGGGGAGGGACCATGGGAGGTTGGCTCCAGGGCATGTCTGGCCCTTCTCACCCATCCTGCCCCACTGGCCACCTTCTAATTAATTTCCTTTCAGTGTGCATAACTCTGTGCACTGGGTCACTAGTAAACCTATAAAAAGGAAAAGTTCTTTCAGTGAATAAAAATCCAGATCATCCTCTCAGATCTGAATTTAGGCTATGCATAATCAAACCTACTAAATATAGTGGGTAAATATAGATCTAAGGCTGCCCATAAAATCTCCAGGGAAGGGCACAGGAATAGGAAGAGGGGAGGAGGAGGGAAGAGGAGGGAAGGAGCAGACATGAACACATGGCTCGTCTATGGCTTTGGATCTTGCTAGAACTTCATTACTTTTGGTGTCATGGAATCACCTTCTCTGTTTTAGGTTTGCTTAGAAGATCAATAAGTAAAATGAAGGCCTGAGAAGTCCCTCAACATTCAAGTTCATGTCTCCTGTTTCAAACATGCATTCTGAATTTTACAAGTATATTAGCTTTATTTATTTAAAGTTGTTTGTTTGTTTGTTTTTTCTAACTCTAAACTGCCCATCCTAATTTTGTTGACAAGTCTATTTCTTGTGGCTTCTTAGACTGGCTCTTTATCGCTTTTTGCATGTAGTTGAAAAACAATTTTTTAAAAATTTTTTGGTTTCTGTTTATTTTTACTTTAGTAAAGCCATAAGCATCGCTTCAAGTTCTGACGTATTTAAAAAAGACAGTTAACAAAACCCTACCTCATGTTTATATGTATGCATATGTACAACATGACATAGACCATGTTAGAAGGGATCTTCTATTTGCAATTTTAATCTATTTTTGCAAATATCTGCAACAAACCAATAGCTGTTCCTAGTTCAGCAGTGTGTTAAAGATTTTTTGCCTATTCATGTAATGGAATAATTCGATGTCAGGAATGTTCTTCATTGGCAATATTTGATGACTCTGTACATAGTTAAGAAAATGCAGATGGAACCTTTGTCAGTCCTCTTAGGTCTACAATAAAGAGTACAGTGTGACATACCAGTGGGAACTCTCCTTTACTTTAAGACATTTGTTATATGTCACACGTCAAATGGTGATGAAAGATAATCTTTCCAAAGAGCAAGTTTTCCCCAGGCCCCCAGAAAACCCTTATAAAAATGGATGTCGCATCAGCAGGATAATCTAATGAAGCCCAACAGGCAACCTGCTCACTCTGTCAGGGGAAGTGGAACAAACAGCAACCACAGATTCTCATCAGTCAGTCAGTCACCCACAGCATTCAGCTTTCCACACTGGTGCTTCCCCTCATTCTGGCCACTCCGTTTGAAACACCAAGCTATCCATTCCAACAGGCTGACTCACATCACTGCAAGGCTCCGTTCTAATACACCCTCACCAGCATGCCCTGCTGACCACCGTCCACACTCACACATCTCACCTTCGACCGATCTCCTATCCCTCCCCTTATCTAATCCTTTCTTGCAACATTTTATCATCTCATACCCTAAACAACCCATATCTTTCTCTTCTCTGAACTAAATTTGTTGTGGGTTGGATCCGAGTCCAATTCGTTTTTTAATGTTCCTCAGTACCTAAGAGCCCGCCTCAGGCATCACAGGTGTTCAATCAATGTATATTGATTAAATAAATAAATGTATCCTGAAGTTCAGAGTAATTGGAATTATGGAATCAGGTCTGACAATGTTCTAATTGTCTTTCAAGCATGGTAGGCAGAAACTATGTAAACCCTGGGTTGCAGAAACACAATTTGGCTATTGCCACTGTCTCCACCCACACCCAGTGCAGACATTCATAATCAATCCCCACAGTCATTCCTGCCCAGCCGTGACTTGGCCTCACAGTCCTCCTTAGCCTGATGCCCTAAGAGGCCATTATCAGTCTATAGAAGTAGTCCTAAGAGATGAAACCTATGACTTTTAAGGACTCAAAAAATTGGTATTCTTTCCCAATCTTTGAGCAATTCCAAAGATCTGTAATATTTATAAATTTGTAATTTGCCCCATGACGTGGGTGATTGAGGAGAGGTTACTAGTAAGAGTAAAGCTGGGCTGAGCCCTAGAAACAGTGTTGGATCATCTATCCCGTCTTGGAGGAAAGGGATTAGTGTCGGCTTCTTCAACTAGCTCCTCCAAGCTTTCCCCAAACTCACACAGGTAACATTATTTTTAAATCCAAGGCCAGGAGCGAAGAATTAACAAACAGGTTTTTTTCATCGCATGCCAAAATCTGGGGACAGAGAGGTGTGGCAGGCCAAGGCCCCTGGTATTGTCCATTGGGGGTCATCCCTCAGCCCACCTCACAATGGTGCGGGGTTCCCCTCCTAGGAGTGGATGCCCAGGTTCGAACCTCTAAATAGAAGAGACCCAAGCCTCTAGACAAAGACTTTAAAAATGTTTTTATTCTGATTAGCCAATTTAAATAAACAAGTAATAAAAGATCCTGATCTAACCAACAACAACAACAAAAAGTGAAGCACAGATTTAATACCCATATATGCTACACAGTGGGTGTCGGGGAGTAAATATCTGACAATCACTCAGAGGATGTGTACTTAAAACTTGTTTTTCCTCCTCTTCACCTTATTTTTGGAAGTTTATATGTGCTTAGTAGATGTTGCTAAAAATGGTATAAAGTAATGTAGGGTAGAATTTATTTTAGTGAAGGAATTTAGTAACTTATTCTAATTCTTATAGAATTATTAAGAATCAAAGGGACTGTGTTTTGTGGGGCAACCATATTACCATGGTGTTTTCAAATTTGAAAGTGACCTCAAAGCAAGTCCCCTGAGAAGATGATGAAGACCATATTCTGCATTTAGGAAAATCTCGGGAATCTCAGTTTTCATGAAACCATCCTGCCACGATTAAGATAAGTGGCAGCACGTGGGACAGGAGCTGATGTCAGGGGCTGCTCTGTGGTTGCCTGCTTCCCAGGATACCCAGCCAGGACACCACAGGACTCTGAAGGTGCACAGGCTGAGGAGCAACAGGACATACACCAGGAAGGTTCTCGGAGGTTCAGCTGTGCCTCTGACTGTGGTCACACAAGACACCGGCTGAGAATACTTAAACACAGAGAGTTATGATGTCACGTAACAAGAAGTCCAGCGGTAGAGGGGACTCCAGGATTGACGACTCAGCGGCTCTGTGGTTTCATCGAAGACTGAAGTCCTTCTCTCCTTTTCTCTGCCATCTCCGTCATAGCCCAGACCGCAACATGGGTGCAAGGCCACCATAGAAATTACAAGAATCTCATCCAGACACACCAATGTCCAGAGTTATAAAAACAGACTATCATTTCTGGTATCGCCTCTTAAAAAATGATGATGAAGAAGAAGAGGAGAAGGAGGAGGAGGAGGAGGAGGAGGAGGACGACGACTTATATAACACTTATTGTGTGCCAGGCACCATTCTAACTGCTTTACAAATACAGTAAGTCCTCACTTAACATTTTTGATAGGCTCTTGGAACTGCAACAAAACAACATCTAAGGAAACCAATTTACCATAGGCTAATTGACATAAATAACAACTAAGCTCTTACAGCAGCATCTCATCAATGTTACAATAAAACGACACTAAACGAAAGGATGTTATTTGCGGACCTGTGATATTAACCAATTTTTATTCTTTCAACAATCCTATTAGGTATGTATTGTTATTAACCTCATTGAACAGATGAGGAAGATTGGGGCAGAAAGGGTAAGTACCTGTCCTAATGGCACACGGCTAACAAGTAGTGGAGCTGGGAATTTAAACCAGAGAGTCCACTCCAGAGTCTGTGCCCTTAGCCACACAGCTGTCTCCACTGTAAGAAAGTCTTGCCTTCCTGCTTCATTGGCCAGAACTGAGTCACATCCCCACCTCTAAACTAATCTCTGACAAGAGACAAGAGATTGTCACAAAGAGGCTCAATCAAACAAGATTTACCACTGAGCTGGAGGTGGACTCATCTTTCCCAAGGGATAAAAAGTAGTTCTGTTCCCAAAGGGAAATGGGCAGAAGGCAAGGAACCAGCAACGCCTGTTTCAGGGGCTGCCTACAAACTGTCCAGCTTCACTGTTAATTCCCTTTCCTCTGCCTTCATCAGGTAAGATAGCATGTTACACCGTAGTCCTCCATGCATGTATTTCTACCTCCTCCAACTTGCTTGCAAGCACTCAAAATAGAAACAAAACTGCATGTTCCCCACAGGGCCTGGCATAGGGACCTGCACATAGAACGTGTTCAAGAAACGTTTGTTCATTATAATTGAATTTTCATTCTCAAGTCTACTTAATTGGAGAGGTCAACAGTCGGCCATGCTCGAGGCAGGCAGATAATGCATTTTCACATTGATCTAGCAATCAAATGAAGTCTGAGAAACTTCCCTTGCCATGCAAAATAGCATGGAATCACACATTAACATAGGTCAATGCAAAAGCCCAAACTTAGTAAGTTGTTAGTGTCTTGCACTCAGCCCCCCTGGAGATAACATTAATGTCACATTTTTATTATGACTTGACCTTTCCACTCTATTTAAAGAAACGTATCAGAGACCCGTAAGACAGAGCAGGCTACATCATTTACACCGCCCTGTGCAAAAATTAACTGAATTCTGGATCAAACTATTACTGAAAGTGATGTTATAGTACAGTGGATAAGGGTGTGGGCTCTTTAAAAATACTGTATCTGGGTTCAAATCTGTCAGTTAACTAGATAATATGGACTTGGGCCAATGACAAGCTTTTCCTAAGCTTCAGTTTCCTTGACTGCTAAAAGAAATAACAAGAGGGTCCTTGTGAGGGTTGAATGAAATCATACATATGAAGTAGTTGACACGGTGCCTGGGTCTTTAAATGTAGTTCTTATTATTATATTACGTTATCATAGGAAATGGGTCTTAGTTTCTCCTCTGAGCTCCATGATTATATACTTTTTAAAACTGGTGTACTTCCAATTATAACAGGGAGAGGGACACATGCCTGGCCACCCCCATCTACCAGTTTCTCTCCCCTCTGCCACCCATAATTCCTTGGGGCATTGGGGGTGACATTTATTCCTTCTTCTACTTTATAGTTTCATTCTTTACTTTGGGCACCAGCCTCAAGATCTAGCTGTGCAGTAGGGCATAGCATCTTATCCACAGAGGAACTTTTGGCTGAACCCCTTATATATGAAAGGTATTTAGAAAAATCCACTTTCTGTTCATAGGCTAATTTTAAACATATTGTCTTGCTAAAGAAGTCACCTCATTCATTTATTCATTCCTTTATTCATTCACCCTCTCTTGCCCCCAGTCAAAAAGCCTACACAAATGATGATACAGATGATGAAGAAAATGAAACTAAAGAAAAGAAATAAACAAATACATTAGTCTAATAGTTGCAGTATTTTGTCTCCATTAAAAACAGAATTTTTCATTGTTATCTGTAGCTTACCAGGGAGCATGTAATTGGGGAACACAACATAAACACGTATATCTCAGAAGCCCCAGAGCCTGCTGGCACTGTTTCCCAAGTATTAGGAAATACCTAGAAATTGGAGTGAAAGAATGTCTTCATCAAAACAGAAACTCTAGGGTCATGTGCTTTCAAAAATGGAGGGGTTAACACCAGCAGCTTTAGAATTAGGCACACTGGTTTGCGTGTGTGTGGACATAAGTGCTGCCTGCCAACATTTCTAGTTTTCTTCTCCTTCCAGGAGGAAGAGGATCATAAAAGGATCTTATTTCCTAGACCCCTTGAAGGTAGGCATGGCCTTGTGACTTCTCTGGCCTATCCTATATGAACAGAAGCAATGTATGTCACCTCCATGTGGAAGCATTTAAGAGATGCTGTGAGATCCTCCATGCCGGCTCTTCTTCCTCCCTCAGTAATTGTGGAAGTCCTGTTGAGATGACATGTCATTACATGGTAAAGTCCCCTTCTGCCTGAATCTCTGAATCAGTCTCCAAATATCTCAGAACTCTCATGTCAACCTATGGATTACATGTACTTTGAGGGGGAAAAAACCTTTGTCATTTTAACCACTGTGCTTTGGG